GAGAGACAGAGAGACAGACAGACAGACAGATAGATAGAATGACAGACGGACAGACATACAGAAAGAGAGACAGACGATAGATAGATAGATAGATAGATAGACAGATAGACAGACAGATAGAATGACAGACAGACAGACAGATAGATAGATAGATATAGATAGAATGACAGACAGACAGACAGACATAGATAGATAGATAGATAGATAGATATAGATAGAATGACAGACAGACAGACAGACATAGATAGATAGATAGATAGATAGATAGATAGAAAATTTGGGGAAAAGCAATTAAGAATAGGAAAGGAGACAAACAAAATTATCAGCATGATTTTCTGGGTTTTGACAGGCAGCACAATTTTTATAGTTTATTGTGAAAGTGACGTGAAATGTGGCCAAGTATGGTTACCCATACTAGGGTTCATAAAGGCCTATTCTTCCATCCCAATTCTCATACTTGTACTATGCATATGAATATGATAGTAGGAAAGTACATGTATGTGCAGTAAGACGTCATAAAATTGTGTCCTGATACCACATATGCCTTTGTTGCATTAAATATCATAGCTACTACAATTATTGTTACTGTTGTAAAAACTATAAATTAATATTTCTGTAATTTTATTAAATTTATTTGTGATGAAGTAAAAATAATAATGAACCATTTTTGTGGAAAGTATGGTTACCATGGTAAATTTTCAGAACTGAAATATGTGCCTTCTTAATAACAACTCGCCAATTGTGATTCACTTTGCGGTTTGCATGCTAGCTGCTTCAGGACAGGTTTTGGCTGACTGAGGCTGATCCTAGACCAGCACAAATGCACCAGACTCACCTGATTGATGTGTACAGAGGGGATGGACGCGGACGGAACTGACGAGTGGCTGGGAGAGTTGGGCAGAGATTTACACGGACCAATCGAAAGCTGCTGTTTTTTCCTCAGCGCCACCACTTTCTGAGCAACTGCAATCACACATCATAAATATTACAACTATGAAATCAATGCATTAAATAGATTAAAAGTGACAATAAAGACATTTATAATTTCTGTTTCAAACAAATGCTGTTCTTCATGTTTTCTAAAAAAAAAAAATAGAAGGGAAAAAAGAAACAAAAAAGAAGAAATTTCAAAGCAAATCAGCATATCACAATGATTTCTGAAGGACACTGAAGACTGGAGTAATGATGCTGAAAATTCAGCTTTGCATCACAGGAATAAATTACATTTTATAATCTACTCAAATAGAAAACAGTCAATTTAAATTGTAATAATATTTCACAATTTTACTTGATCAAGCATCAAGATCAAGAGAAAAAAACCTCTCATCAAACTTTTGAATTATAGGGTAAAGTATGCAAGTATTTGTCCACCTCTTGTACACTGAATAAAAATGTATGAACAGTAGGGATGTTCATTTCGGTTATTTTTCCTAACCGACAACCGACGCTCATTAACCGATTGTTAACCGTTAACCGACAAGATTATTTTAAATTAGAGAAAAAAGTCTTGACCAGGGGCGCATCATGTACTCACGAGCGAGACTATGGGTGCTCCAGAGAGGGAACAAAATGTCAAAAACAAAAAGTGGGTCCCATTGCAAGAAACAAAAATAATCCTTTTATATTTTGCCTGCTATGTGAGTGCCTGGACGTGGATTATTTTTGTTTCTTGCAATGGGATCCACTTTTTGTTTTTGATATTTTAAATTAGAATTGAATTAAATTAGAAAGGATAAGTGTCTGTGCTATATATATATATATATATATATATATATATTTTTTTTTTTAAGAAATACTATCAAAAATGTTTATGTAAAAACATTGTAAAAAATAAATGCATTTTAACGTGTTTCGCACAGCTAGTCTAGATACTAGCTGTTTTTGTTGTTTTAGTCCTGCATATGACCAACTATTCTTATGGGAACAATGAATAATTCAGCTGTCTATTAATAACCTATAACGTCTTTCAAAGCCCCTGATTTGCAGTAAATGTGACTACAAGCATAAACAAGACTACAAAGTAATTTATTTGCTACCATAATTCATAAATGGCAATAAATGTACATGACATTGAGTGCTTATTATTTTGGTAGGGAGATGTTCAAAACTTATGTACAGTATGTTACAATTTTTCAGTTCTAATAACGCACATAAGGTTTCTTCCCCAGCTGTGAAATGTTTTTGTGCAGATTTACTGCATGAAACTGGAAACCCTGGAGACTTAGAGTGTGCCTACAGCCATTTAACAAGTGACTCAACATTATTCACTTTTACTTTTCGCAAAAACAAAGTAACAGAGAAAGAACGAGCTGCACACAAGTGAAAGAACCGGCAAAGTCGAGATGATGTTGATCCGTCTGCGTTTTCAAAGAGTCGAACAGCTCACCGTCTCCAGACAACAGGCGCATCTCTGTCTTTTAATTATTTCAAATGCAGCCCGAGGAGGCAATTACACGCAGGAGAAAACGGCAACCGTCAACGCCCCAGCAATAAAGGCAGGGACAAGAGAAATCCATCCTGACAACTATGATATTGGAGAGCGCGGAGGAAACTGCAACACTGCGGAGCAATAAAGCTGCTGGAATTATCGCAGCCCCTGCAACCGCGGGAGGAAGTCTCACACGGATATATAGAGCAGCGATACCAGATTACTGCGCGGCTGCTTGATAAATACTTATGTAATATGTATTTCTAGGTGCTGTGAAACCACTCTACCTCGAGCAGGCGGCTAGAGGGACACAAAAGAGATGTGTGGGCAGATTTCTGTAGCTTACTCTGCGATACATTCATGCCACATGACGACAGTGGGCAGAAGAGAGCGCTATCAGTGAACTCAGAGTGGCTCTGCTATTCCAGCTGGTTTTCAGGATTGTTCGTAATAAATGCACTAACCACTAGCGATGGAAAAACACAGCTCTTTGTTAGATGAGGAGATAAAAGCAGGATCCAGAACGTCAGATGCATTCAGAATGTCTCACAGCCATCCTTAAAATCTGCTGTATGTACATAATATAATACAGTAAACTAATAACATAATAATAAATACCCCCTTCACGGTCATACCTTTAAAGATTAATACATTAAAATACATGATCAATACCAAACTTCACAGATTGATCACTATTGTTGTTTTATGATGATGCCAACCAGCATGCAATGAATGTTTTAACTATGTAATTATTGCCTTTTTTTACATAAAAATAATCATTAGACTACAACAATAAAGCATAACATGCTTTATGAACATTATAATATTATTATTATTATTATATTAACAACAACAATGATAATAATTATTGTTACTGGAAATTAATTTTTGTTTATTAAAAAGTTTTTGTGTCTAAATAATAATAACAATAACAACAATAATAATTATTATTATTACTGTTTTTTAGTGCTGCGTTCGATACATCGATACGTTGTATCGAGAGATTTGACGATACGAGTATCGATACAGCTGTCTCTGTACCAATATTGTGGCACGTGTGCAGCAGTGGACCGCACAAGAATACAGTTTAAAATGGAGTAGAAAAGCGCGAGGTTTCTAAAAAATAATGAATAGAGCATAATATATAGGCTACAACAAGGTTTAATCTGGTCGAAGAGGAACACAACCGGGGTTGCCTGATATAAAGTGACTTAATCCCCGAAACAGAGCTTCCCACTTGCGCAATATGGAAATATCTGCTAAGTGTGCTACTTATCTTTGTCAACCTGGCAACTATGTGCACGCGCACTCTCTCCACTCTGGATAAACGCGCTGGCTTTCTGAAAACACCGGTAAACTTGCAGTTTAGCGATCTCCACTTCTATATTCTATTCTCAGAAAAGTGTAATTCACTCATCAAGTGTTCATTTATGAGAGAGAGAGAGAGAGAGAGAGAGAGAGGCTGTGTATGTATGAATTACCACCGTTTTGCCGCGTTTCTCTATTAACAGTGAAGCTGTGGCTTTAATTCCTTTAGAAACAATGATGTTACCAGCTCCTTGTTGAGAAAGATAATGTAGCTCTTGAGCGATTAAGCTATTTAGTTGATAAAATTGCGGGGCAGCGCTAAAAAGAAGGTCTGTGCGCGCACGCAGCATGATCTGACTAAAGGTGTGTGCGTGAGATACTGTGAGTGTGAAGACAGTGCATTAGTTTAGAACTTTTCTAATTTTTTTTTTTTAAACGTAGAGAGGGTTGATTTG